GAAGCACGCTGACAGAAGCACGCTGACAGAAGCGCGCCTAAACCTAACCCTAAACCTAACCCTTACCTTTATGTGAATCAGCTTGCTTTAATTTTATTTTTATTTCGATTTTTAATTTTTTTCGTCGCGCTGCTGATGACGTCAGTACGCGCTTTCGTCAAGCGCGCTTTTGTCGACCGCGGTTTTGACGGGTCACGCTAATGGGAAGGAGGAAGGGAGGGGAAAGGAAGAAAACCCACTTTTCATAATGATTTCTCAGCAAATGTATAGATTTCAATTGCATTGAACGGGGAGAAACTTTTGACAGGATTGACTTAATTGTGCGTGAGAGAGAAAGAGGGAGGGAGGGAGAGAACTGTAACATTGGCACATTCTCTAATTGTGTTCTGTCTAAAGACTTCTTTCTCCTCGGCTGCCCATCTGTGTCAAGCGGCAGCTGAAGTTCCATAATCTCCGCCTTCCAGGCAACAAGCGACAATAGCTACAAAGGGATCTTCATGAAAGGCTGAGAATGCACTGATTTCACTTGCTCTCTGGGCAGCCAGAGCTGCGGAAAGATTTTGCTTCCCTTGCTGCTGGCGCTTCCTCCAGTTGCTCTTTTTTTCCGAAGGGGACAGGAGACAGGCTAATGGCAGCCTTCCTTGTCCCTTTGGATCACGCTAGGATTATAATCTCCTCACCCGGCTCCACATTCGTCTTGTGCAAAAGAGCATTCTTCACTTCAGCAAGGATTCTACAACTGTAAGTGCGCATTGCTGTTTGCCAGTATTCTTCCTGTGTGCATTTATCAGCAGTCATGTACTACTGATAAGAGTGGATATTTGAACGTTTTTCCATTTTTGTTCAATAGTCTCACTGAAGTTATCATGTCAAAACCAATCTCCCATAGGTCTTTTCTGCTTGGTTATTACCAATGAATTTCAGTAAAGAAAGCTCTGGGTTTACCTGAATAGTGGTTTTTAAAATTCTTTGTATCATTATTATGCATGAGTCACTTTCCCCCTCCTTTTTCTCAAGTCTACCATCCGTGGTAAAATAGTCATTCCATGTCAAGTGGTTTGAGGGTCCCTGCTCGACACAGATTTTGATGAAATTTTGTGTGAACATGTAATGAAGATTGGTAAAGTGTTATGTGTGCCAATGCAATACTTGTGGAGATATAATCATTTGTTTATAAGTTATGAGTTATGAAAGTTTATTTATATGCCGCCCTTTTCCCTGGAGGGGACTCAGGGCGGCTTACAACTCGAAGGGAGGGGGGAAACAAACATTTAACACGTAAAACAATACATAATTAAAAGCACAACATTCATACCATTCAGGTGGGTTACAGTCATTAGCCCCAGGCCTGACGGGATAGCCAGATTTTAAGGGCTGTGCGGAAAATCTGGAGGGTGGTGAGGGTACGAATCTTCATGGGGAGATCGTTCCATAGGGTCGGAGCTGCCACCGAGAAGGCTCTCCTCCGCGTAGTTGCCAGTCGGCATTGACCAGCAGATGGGACTCGGAGGAGGCCTAATCTATGGGATCTAATTGGTCGCGTGGAGGTAATTGGCAGTAGGCGATCTCTCAAGTTTGACCTCATACCACAGCCTTCTACAGTATGAGTTTTTTTAAAGCACTTTTCTGAAATCAGAACCACTTGACATGAAATGACTAATTCCACATTTTCAACACTGATTAGAATACCTTTGCACACCTTGGATAATTTCTCTGGCACCATACATCATTTTGTAAGAGTTCTTTCTTAAATTGTAATAGTGTGGATTTCAGTCCTTTAACCACATTTCCCCCCATTGGTCCATCTGAACACTATAACCAAATTCTTAGCCCATTTTATCATCTTTAACTTGTCCTTCCTCCATTTTAAGTCTTAGCAAAAGTTTGTAAAATGTTTGGGCTGAAATCAGTAAAGCCATTTCTGGGCACAGCTGGGGTCTGTATCTATTCCTTATTCATAGTATGGCATTTCTAACATCATGATTTTTAAGTCTACATTAACCTTGTCATGCAGTTAAAAAAAAACATACCATCCAAACCTGAGATTGTGTCTTTCTAATTCTAACACAGACAAATGAGTTCGGATTTGCTTGATCGAAACACTCTAATCATGTTTATGATGCCTTTGCTACATGTGCCAGAATCCTAGAATTCTCTGCATTCCACCCTATCCCTTCTCTGTTTTGCTCTCTTAATAAACATGGTACATTAGGGGTGGGGTGGGGACTTCAGGACAAACCTCAAAACTACCATATTTGCAGAGTTGGGAAAGTACCTTTCAAGTTCCTTGTTGCTGCTCTCATAAGTTGGAGAGAGGACATAGAAATAAATAATTTAAGACACCACTGGCATAATAGATTCATTTGAGCTTTAAAGGTGGCAAGTCAACACAAATGTTTGTCTTTGAAGATTACACAACTGAATTAACATATTAACTATGTGTTGAGCCATAACACATAGCAACTCAATCCCATGAACATAACAGAAAACTGTTCTCTATTCTGAGTTCCACTGCCTCCAAGATAATTTCCTTATTTTCTCTTCAAATCTTTGGCTAAAGTCAATTTTGCTACAAGCAGATTTGTAAATCTATTAACTCAGAAGGGAATTTACTGAGTTGATCTTTGGTTAAAGTCAGTTTCACCACATGCACAAGGGGGTTGTGCTCAAATGAGGTGTATATTATATGTATATTAGAAGCTGTAGCATATACACTCATACAGATAAGTGCATATAAACAAAAAACCTAGAAAAAGATGGGATGCCATTCCTTGGGATGGGATGCCACTCAAGTCTTGAGTCTGCTAGATAAATCTTAGCCTTTCTGTGATGCAGTAGAGTGAGTGCATTCTGGGCCATGAAGTCCCAGACTCTAAAATTACTTCATTTAAAATGTGTTAATTGTTTAAAGAATTTAAATAAAATAATAATAATAAAGCCTCTATCCCTCAGATTCAAATTTTGCTTACATTGGAGGAAAATACAAAGCTGCAGTTTTTGCATCCTGTACCCGATGACATTTGCCAAGGCATATATCTTCTAGAGTCACATTTCTTTATTTTTTCTCTCTCCCTTCCCACTTTTAAAAATTATGGAAGACCCCAGAAGTAGTTTTCATTGTATGAGTTATATTTATCTGTATTTACCATAGTTAAAAATAAAAATTGACTACTACTGCCACTTCTCATGATTTAATGTTTGGTGGGATTTTAATATTTTTATTTTTCAAGGTAGGTTGGCAAATGATTTTGATTCTGTGGACCCCTGAGAGGGTCTTGAGGGGCACTTTGAGAACAGCTGTTCTAAAGAGAAGGAAGACGGGGTTATATTTTGCTCCCCCTTTTCTTTAGAGTAATTCTGAATGAGCTATAGAAGAAGCTTTCCATTCATGCCGACAAAACTACAAGCAACTGTCATAGGGGGTGGTAGCCTCTGACAATTGCTTTTCTGTAGAAAATTAGCCAACTAGCAATGCCAACTCATGGTTGACCTGAAATGGAGTTTTACTTCTGGAAGATTTGAAAGTTGATAGACAGAAATGTTCTAGTGCCACAGGTCAGCAAAACGTTTGGAAAGAGGGTTAAATACAGAGGTGGGTTCCTACCAGTTCGCACCTATTCGGTAGAACCAGTTGGTAACTTTCTAAGCAGTTCAGAGAACCGATTGT